ACCCCACATGGACGTCTGCTAGGTTCACTTCGTGTGGTTTGGTGTTAGGATCCCGGGTGTAGGCTTCGATACCTTCAGACTGACTACTTAATTAACGGTTTAGGGTTTAGGGTTTAGGGAATTACTCATATCCGAACTCAGCGAGAAAGTGTGCAGAATTATGTGTCTTGGGCCGTGGTCTGGCTCCCACACTGAGAGGCATGGATGTCTGCTACTCTCACTTCGGTTTCGAGGATTGGGTACCTTCGCTGTCGGTTTCGCATACCTCCAGACCATCATAACAAATTAAATGGTGAACATGTTAGGCAAACCCTGTCCCGGGCTACCAGCTTCAGGCACGGGCATCTGTTATTTTCATTTCGGTTTAGGGTGCCGGTGTCGCATATTTCCACAGCAAGACAGCATAAATAAAACACAGAAAGCGCGACATTCTGTGTATTCCACCTTGGCGTGGTTCTCAGATTCAGGCACGGAGGTTTTGGGCTTATGAAGGCTTACAGGGTCTAGGGTTTTGTTTGGGTGAGGGCTTTGGGTTTGATGGTTTTGGGCTTGGGGCTTCGAGGGTTTAGGGGTTTAGGGTTAGGGATTTAGGGGTTCGGAGGTTGGGATAAGTGAGGGTTGTCGTGCTTACTCTTCGGGTGGGTTTAGGGTTTAGGGTTTATATTTAGGGCTTAGGGTTGGTGAAAGTGTTGTTCTGGGGGCCTCAGCCTATCCTTCGCCCAAACACCCAGGGCTAAGATTGCAGGGAATGGCGTCAAACCGAAGGCGCTCGATGATTAGACTATGTTGGGGAATATGTGAAACTACAGAGCTATGGTAAGGAACCCCAAAAGATAGTTGCCCTACTCATTCAGACCGATCCCTATATTACCCCAAGAGCTCTGCCTAAACGCCGTGCCTTTGGACAGTAGCTGGTCAATGACTGCACCAAGCTTTTCCGTGTGCGCCTCACGCCGAGAGGACAGGGAAAGCATAGGTCAGCACAGGTTAGAGGGAATGCCAGAAGTCTCAAAACTCTATGGTTGAACCCATGGGCCCCTAACATGGGCCCTTAGGGGGTTCTAGGGTCCCTTAAGGGTATATATAGGGTATATAGTAGGTATATTAGGGTCCCAGGGTTAAGGGCCCATACTAGGGGCCCTGGGTTAAACCTTAGAAAAACCAAAAGCCCATGTGCTTCAGAATTTCGAGGAAGGGTTCACTTTGAAATGCATTCGCATTGCCAGCATGGATCTGGCATTACAGGAGCCACTAGAACTGGTCTCGGGCTTCTTGAGCATTACACCCTAAACCCTAAACCCTAAACCTTTAACCTTGAAGGTTGAGGGTGGTTTCCCTGGCTCTCCTGCAAACTCGAAGGGTGCTTGCCCTTGCAGACAGAAGCATGCAAAGCGTGCCTTGCGTCTGGCCAGCGCGTCCTGTGCGAAACAGGAACCGAGCAGGGCCGCAATTTGCTGTGATGTTGGCAAAAACCAAAATATACCCCTGAGTATTCTGAAGATTGGAAGTTTGGCGCTCACGTGTTCTTTAAAGATTGTTTGAGGGTTCATGTCGGGCGTTCTGGGGCTTTGCATCTGTCGCAACAGCGCTAGCCAGATTTTGAAATAGCTCGTCTAGACTTGCCTCATATGGATTTGGCCCAGCCGGCCCAAATAGTAGGGCTGAAACCCTAACCCCTAAACCCAGCGTACTCTGCATGGCTTTTGATACCCAAGGCTGTACTATTTGGGTACTGCAGCCCTCCGAGTAAAGGCTCGGAGAATCTTCCCTATAACGGTTCTTTAAAAAACTCGAGTAAACCCTAAAACCCTAAATCGCTTAAAGTAGGGGCCTTAATAATTCGAAGAGGGTTTTGGGCTCCCTTATCGTATAATTATAGTAAGGAATCTAAGGAAGAATATTGTTGATTCTCTTGGCCCCTAAAACCTGAACCCAAACCCCTAAAGTATAGCATCCTAGCACCTTTCCTGTCAGCACTGACTGGTCTAGCCTATACCCCTTAAACCCTAAACCCTAAACCTTAAACCCCTAAACCCTAAACTTATAAACCCTAAACCCTAAACCCTAAACCCTAAACACCCGGGACTCTCAAGCCTAAGCCCTAAGTCTCAAAGCCCAAAGCTCGGTAGCCTGGCCTAGCCAGAGCTTCCAATATCCCTTAGTTAAGGAACACACACCCCAAGTCCTACTAGTGATCCTGTTGTAGTTTAAGGTATATTCCTCGTTAGTTAAGGGATCTTGGACCGTCTGGGTTGCTCTATATATATATATATATCGTACTTGGAGGGTCATGGGTAGTTATAAGTGGGGTTATAAGTAGGGTAACTATACTTATAACCCACATTAGGGGACTTGTAACCCCAATTACAACTACCCATGAACCTCCAAGTGCTCATACGTCCTGAAGACTCCTGAGCTCAGGACAGAGGTCGAGAAGGACAGGGACGAGCCGAGTGCTACTCGTAACCGGTGCTGTTGATTGATTATGATGGTGCTTTCGTCCTAAACCCTAAACCCTA